TATTATTCTATTATTCTATTATTCTATTATTCTATTATTCTATTATTCTATTATTCTATTATTCTATTATTCTATTATTATATTATTATATTATTATATTATTATATTATCATATTATCATATTATTATATTATCATATTATTATATTATTATATTATTATATTATTATACAATAATTGTACGTAATAATTATTGTTAAACCAAACTGATGAAACAGTTTAAAATCCCGTCGAGTTTTTAAGCTAGAAGTCACAGAAATTTCGCACCTCCATATCGATGCCATGCGAAACGTTGCAAAAGGAAATAAAGCAAATTTTTGCATCAATTGTTCAATCTGGAAAGTTCGAAAGAAAAATATTCGCGAGAGGTTTAGAATATATTTTCCAACAAAAGCCAACGCTTTCAGAATGCACCGTAGGTTGAACGAAATTATACGCTGCGTAATCGGGATCGTAAAATGGTGTGTCGTCAATTATAAGCACGACTCGGCGGTCGCTCTGAACACTCCTAGGAAGGAAAGAAAGGAACGCAAATAAAGTTAAGGAAAATATAAAAACAAATTAGAACGGTAGACATGTAAAAGCAAGAAGTCTGCGGGGAAATGTAGCGGAGAAAATATTTCCGGAAGAAAAAGAGAAAACATGCAATTTTCAGCATCTTTTTAAGCCACTGTTTCCTGCTACACCTCGCTAATGACCTCACGTAACGCGTTCCCCGTGACAATGAGCGTGTACGTGCAGGGTGTTTCAGTTTCGTTTAAGTCTGTTTTCGGTGTTAGAAACTGCATCGCAACGTAGACCGAGTTAATGACATTTTCGCATCACTCGGGTATCATCATAAAATGCCGTGCACTTTCCTCGCTCCTTAATAATTTTATAATCGCGTCATTCGCTCTTGTTAAATTAATGGTCCTTAATTGTCCGGTATTTTGCACTCCGAACGAAGCTATGAATTATTTGAGCAAAAATTTTACACGTGCACGAAGATCCGTAGTCTAACAAATAGGACAGGGGAGCCAGTTACTGTGGGCTAGCCGATCGCTGTGCCTTTAATTTATTGTCGAGCATGATTAACTTTATATTTATCGAGTAAGGCTTTTTATTTAAATTAAATTACATTGATATTAAATTAAATCAATATTAAATTAAATCAATATTAAATTATTCAATATTAAATTACATTAATATTAAATTAAATCAATATTAAATTATTCAATATTAAATTACATTAATATTAAATTAAATCAATATTAAATTATTCAATATTAAATTACATTAATATTAAATTAAATCAATATTAAATTATTCAATATTAAATTACATTAATATTAAATTAAAGCAATATTAAATTACATTATCAAATTAAAACTTTTTTATTTAATTTCAGCGAATTATTTATTTGTTAGAATTGAATATTTAAAGGACGGAAGTTCTTCAAATCGCAGGCATGAAGGCGGAAGCTTTGGAAATTCGCAGAACAGGCTCGGAAAAGTTTTCGCGACTTTACGATGTTCTCTCCAGAAACCCTGTTTGCATAGCCCAGTATACAGGATTGATTTTAATATCCTTCCTTGTCACACTAACCGTGGCATCCCCGTCTCCACTTTATTCCCGCCCCTCTATTCAATATTTAATATCGTCGACGAGAAGGGAAGCGTAACAGTCTCACTTGAGATTTTCGATCCGGCGTGATTGTGTTAACGCAATAGAACTTCGTCCAGGTTCTCCAGCTTTTATTGCATAGTTTCGCAAAACCGCGATCCATTTGTTGAAAAATGCCTGTTTTTCTAGAGGCGCCGCGGAGCAATTATTGTAACTGCAACGCGCGGAATCCTTGCGCCTGGACTCCGTTCCGATGCAAACGCGCCGGGTATATTTCGACACTTTGTTGGACGCTCGTAAATCATCACGCAATAACCGGTTACAGTTGTCATCGTATCACGCTGACGAATGCATCAACCGATGCTCGCGCATTTTGAGAGCGCAACGGACGCGACAAAAGTTCGTCGAGGGCGAACTTTGCTCGAACAAACTGTTTAAAATTTGCGAAACAACATTCTCTCCGCGGAAACAGTTGCACGAAAGATTCCAGGGTGACGCCAATGATTTACGATCTAAATGAACATTGATGAATTATACTCTTACCATCATCACAATCTAAAAATCCAAAAGATCGCACCGGCAACGGTGAATTCATCGTTGAAAATACACCAAAAATTACAGCACCGAGAAAAGTTATTTCTCATGGAACGCGAGAAGATCGAGACGAAATGTTAAGGGATGATTTCGTCCCGATGGGACGGAACGAATAAAAATGATTTAGCTGCTATCCGGTCTAATTGAAAAAGATTTCGATGTTCGATTTTCTCGGTACATCCTTGCAGAAACTAATTCGATTTCGCGTCAGCGACATTAGTGACAAATGACAGGTGTCAGAGTGCAATTACGTGTTTCTCGGCGGCGAGCAAAAATCGCGATCGGCACCGTAACGGTTTCGTCGATCCGCGGCGAATTCCTTCGAGATAGTTGCATAAACGCTGATTAACGCGTTACAGAACTATAAAACCGGTAGCGTGGGCTCGGCCGCCGCGCGACCGGTACCTATACGCTGTACACGCTCCAGTTATCGCGGCGCGCGCGCGTGCACGCGCGCCCGGCAAAAGAACCAGATCTCTGGGGGAAAAGTGGAATAGGTTTGGGAAGTTTAGCGGCAGCCAGCGGAACGACGCGTGTTTCAAAATTTTTAACGGCGCTTCCAGGAACAGGCCGGCTGGAACCGGTACTCGCGCGGTTTCCATACTTAAACCGATTAGACGCGATGGTTACATTATAGTACACTAATTATGCACGCGTCGGACACGGAAGCGCGGCGTTCGTATCGCCGCTGAGCAGCGTGATGACGCTCGTTAATTACATTACCGGTGTTTAGCGTCGTTTTGAGCCGATCCGCTGATCGACCGCTCGAAGCTTTCGCCTATATCGTCAACGAGAGAAATAAATTAGGCGAGGCTGTTTCTGAAAATCTGTTGAGCTAATCGAGTCGTCAGTCGTCTCATCGAGTCGTTAGAATGCATTCTGATGGCTTGGAATAATCGGTTTTGTCTCATCGCGTTTCCTATTAGATTGTCAGAATTTAATATGTTAAAATTAGAATCTCTGTTATCCGACAATTTTTGTCTAAATAACGGTGTTAAACTTGTTCATCTGCCAATGGAAATTGTTGCTGGAAAATTTACTATTCACAATATTTAATCCACGATTTTTAAGAGATTTTTAAGAGTCACAATTTTTCCAGGTGGACAAATTTATTTTAGAAATTTTTAATTATTTCCGTAGACAAGTAACAAGACTGTATTACAGCTCTCTGTAATTAACAGCCACATTTTTCTTATTTTTTCGACTTTTACCATTTTGATGTTATGCCAAAAAAGTTGCAGTATTGTACAGTATTATGTATATTATTATATTATATATTATTATTATATTATATTATATTATTATTATATTATATTATATTATTATATTATATATTATATTATAGTATTATATTATTATATTGAAATTATTGTTATTAAAATATTTTATATTTTTGACAAAGTCCCAAATAGGGATTATAGCAGGTCGCACGAGTAAAAGAGAAAGAAAAAATGTTTGTTATTCTTGCCACCGCAAGAATTGCAGCCGCCATAATGTCGATCATGGAAGGCCGTCGTCTTGCCAGTTACCGCTAACGGCTGACGGCCGGATCGCGGATTAATAAGATCGAGGAGCAAATCGATCACGCGCTAGATCTACTTTCTATAATTTACCATTGAATCGCCGCCGTCGTTGTAATCGCAGACCACGCGGAACTTCAGCAGATTTCTAGGTGACTCCGTGTCGACGAGATCCTCCAAGGACTGCGCCAGCACCAGGGACACGTGGGTCTTGTTCGCCTGTTTGTAAGCGAAGAAGCGCGCGTCCTCGTCCTGCAACGGTTACAACACACGGTTACGCTATGTCATATGGGCAACGGTACACAGGATACTTTGGACCGATCATTTTGCCCGCGGTTCATTTATGGTCGGCTGTTGAACGGTAAACACGCCGCTCATGAGGAATTGTTTTGTTCGTTGCGCCGAACGTTTTTCTTCCCCCCCTAAATTGAGGTTTCTTCCCGTGGCACGGAATACGTGCGCCGACGACTAAACGATCGCTAACAGCTGGCCATTCTCTGACCGCGACCGTCTTAGACAATCTTCTCGTCAGAGTCGACACTTCTCGTACAATCCGCCGAGAACTTGCAACCGTAATCTTCGCAAATGAATAGAACCGCGGATTGTTGCGCGCGCGCGCGTGCGGTCCGACAATTTTCTGCATAAATTGCAGGCAACAGAAGTAAAACGTCTTAAACGTTTTAGCAATTCGAGTGACGCGTATGGGCGACGGAATTATGTTCTCGGACTTTGAACATTCATTTTCTCGCTGATCCAGCGTGTCTTTCTCATTCCGTTAGGTCTCGCGGAACGATGGAACTGTTGGGAAAGTAATCGACATCGTGCAACTGAACTTTTCGGTTTTAATTTGACGTATAGAAATTAATATAAATGTCGTTTATTTAATTTTCAATTAATTTAATTTAATAGAAATGTAATAAATAGAAAGCAGTATATCGATTATCTGAACTTTTCTGTTTTAATTTGACGTATGTTATAATAATAATAATATAGTTTGACCTATATTTAATACTTCGCACTCGAGTGGCGACTCTGACGGACCGCTGAAATTGTTACGTCACGCTTCAAGATAATTTTTATATCGTCAAAGTTTAGTTCTAAAAAATTGTTAAACATTTAACTGTTTGTGAGTCGCAAGACTCAATTTCGTACGTGTAAAATGCACTTTATCATATGAAATGGAAATACCATAAGTCAGAAAAATTGATTTAGATTTACAGTTAATATTGCTTCGAGTGCAAAGGGTTAATTTGACCTCTGATTAATCAGCCGAAGCATATATATTGATAATGCATAATAAATAGAAAGCAATATATCGATTAGACGCTGTAACAAATTTCATATGCTGCAAAATATATTCATAGTCCTTCTAAAATAGAAGATACAATAAAATTACACTTCAATTATATCATCTCACTGAAAGCTCAAGCTTAACATTTTTTTCATTTAATTATATAAGGCATTGTTATTGTTATACTAAACTGATGAAACAATTTCAAATCTCATCGAGTTTTTGAGCTAAAAGAAATTTGATCTTTTAGTTAACTTGACCTTTGATTAATCAGGCGAAGCGTCGATAACGCATAACAAGTAGAAAGCAGTATATCGATTATAGTAAATTTTTTTAATCTCTTGTGAGAGTATTAGATACAACTGGACTACCAGTTCGAAATAGTTTAACACGCACCGCGTTCGAAACAGCTTAATTAACTGGCCGCTATACACGATTTCTTTCACAACTGCTTCGACTACAGGTTTATTACCTTTTGCTGGTAGAAAAATGTTCACCGACGGTTTAAATGTCGATCATTTCTATGAAATCGGCAATTAACTGATCGTATGTAAACACTATGTATGTTTTCTCTAATTGTTAACTACCGATATCCAAGAACATTGAGATGTCATTATGAAATTTTTTAACGACGACTGTTACGCGACACGATAGAACGAGGTATGCATTAATAACTCGGCATTGAATTATTATTATTATTATATTATCGACTCTCCTCATTCATAAAAACATTTATCGCTATAATACTCAGAATTATATCGACTACAATTCACACAGCCGAGTTAATTGGTTGGTCACCGATGGTGACCTATATTTATCACCGACAAATGACTTATAAATATGCACTAACTGTGCAATTACGCAATCATTGCTGTTCACGCACTGCATTTTTCCAATGCAAAATCGTTCTCGTTCATCGCAAGGTCTCTCACACTTTCTCGAGAGGCTGTCATCCTGGGTTTACGCAATTTTCAACACGGAGGTGAAAGATTGAACTTCCTCTAAACAACTATAACTTGACACTGGCTATCCTCGTGACGTGCTAGTAGCTGGGGGATACTATGTAATATCCAATTCATCTGCCTTCACTTTCACCGATGCTATAATCGCGCGCAAAATAAATCGGATAATTAAGTGAATCGAATGCGAGTCGCGTTATTCTAGACAAAATTCCTAAAAAAGAAGGAAAAGAAAAAATTCCTACTTTCGTGCAGCGACATCCTTTTTTTAGCTGCTACGTGTTCGTGGATCATTTACGTGACCGATCAATCGAAAGATTTAATAACTGCTCTGCTAATTGAGAGAGGACGATTTTAAAATCGTGCACGAGTTACGTTCAATTAATCGTATAAATAGAACATTAAACGCGTAATTGAAGCCACATGCGTTCTGATTAATACGGAAAAGGGCGAGTCTTTTTCGTCGCAAGTTTAACGGATACTTACTCTGTCGACTGGCATAATCGAGATGTGATTCCTCGGGTGAGCCTCCAGTGACAGGATTTCCGTACCCTTCGCAAGGTTCTCCGGCACCCTCACGAATTTCAGGTACTCTCCAACGGGGTAGAATTGGCATCCTGCAACAATGTTACAGAAAGAATCCATTAAAGTTTAGAATAGCATTGATCAGTCACACAAGTTTTCCATTTTTAAATTACTGAAAAAAATTCTGAAGATTCTCGTGGAATCAATTTCCGAGTTCGAGCTTATTTAATGATAAAAATAGCGGACAGTTCGAATAATTTCGGTCTTGGGTGGCCAAGAAAACTTTTGCTTTCTGTACAAAAAATAGTCACAGAAAAAGTCAATTTGAATTTCTTCGTCATAATGGCTATAAAAATTGGCTATATAAATTTCATCATCAATGGCTATAAAAATCGACGAGAACTCCAATAATGAATTAATTTGAATAGACATTTAGAGCTGATCGAGTTCGAAGCGCCGTAATTAACCCACAAAATTGATTGAAATGATTCGGCAACAGACAAACATCGTCTCAAGGATTTCGTTTCTTATTTAAATCTTCAATTAATTGCATTTGTCCTTTTTTCTACAAATCGGTTCGGTTTTACAGCCATGACTCATTTGCCACGTAACCCTCCTTTCGGAACGTTCTCGTCTCTTTCCGCCCCTTCAGAGGCTCGCGATAAATTGACGTTGCATAATAAAGTTGTGTTATAATTGCCGCGCGCCTACGTATATATCCAGCGCTCGCAGTAACTTGGCGCGAACGCTTTGCTTTGCGCGGCGGCCGAAAAATACACGGGGCGGGACGCGAGTGAAAGGGCTCTTAGCTAAATTTGCATATTAGCGGGTTTAATTTCGCTATCGTGTCGCGGCGCAAGCTCGTAAAGCGCGGCTGGATGCGGGCTCGATGCCGCGCGAAACTTGGACCCACGAATTCCATCATTTTCGAGAGCGAGCGGAACACGAACGCAACTTTCCTGCCTGCCGAATGTCCCGAGCTTCGCGATCCTGTCGTCTGTTTTACAGCTTCTCGATTTCCAATGTGGCAGAGCATTGTTCGCGGTATCGGTGACAAACGATTTCCTTTTGTTCGGAACGCAGGAGACACTAATAATTCTTCCTCGGCGAGCGATCGCGGAACTTTTAATTGAAGAAGTTCAAGCTTGCGGCGAGAGATTAAGGATCGGGGAACTCCTCTTTAATACGTTCACTGGCCTCTTGTTTCGCTGTACCTAATATCTAATATCAGATCGTGGCAAATGCCATCGAGATGCAGCTGAGAAACGGCGAGGTTAGAAATTTTAGAATTGGCCCATTCGATTCTTACGGATAGACGAAAATACTATTTTTAAAGTATCAAAAGTCATTGAAATATTTTATTTTCGTTACAGGAAATCCTTAGGGAAGAAACTGAATTGTTTATTTTGGTTATAACATAATCTATTAAGAGTAAATGTTCGCATCGAAATCTACAGTTTTGCTAGAAAGATAGTCGATCGTAAAAATTGTTAGATACTTGATTAGTTGTTTAAATTTAGCCCCTTGTTTCGCTGCGGGAGACCTAATATTTAATTAATAGACCTATTATTAAATATTGCTAATATTTAATATCAGATCGTGGCAAATGCCATCGAGATGTAGCTGAGAAACGGCGAGGTTACAAATTTTAGAACTGGCCCATTCGATTCTTGCGGATTGACGAAAATACTATTTTTAAAGTATCAAAAGTCATCGAAATATTTTGTTTACGTTACAGGAAATCCTTAGAGAAGAAAAACTATTAAGAATATAATAATAATATTATAATGTATTAAGAATAAATGTTCGCATCGAAATCTACAGTTTTGCTAGAAAGATAGTCAGTCGTAAAAATTGTTAGATATTTGACTTAATAGTTATTAGATAGTTTAAATTGAGCTTGAGATCGAAGCTTCGATCTAGACACGATAACTTTTGCTACACAATTACACTGAATTTTTTATTTATAACAGAAAAACGACTGTCACAAGAGGCATAACACATCGTTATTTAATAACTAAATATATATAGCACATAAAATGAGCAGATGAAAATGAGAACCAACGAAACTGGAAACGTGGGAAACATTCGAGATTATGATCTTTTACCCGGTTTAGCCTTTTTCGGGGAAACGGAAATTTCGCCTGCGAAGAAATTATCGTGCGCCATTATTGTCGCGAATAAACGCCCAAGCCCTGCTTTTTGCCTGCGTTATCAGCGTTGCGAAACTGATTTCGCAGGTACAGGTTCGTTCGCATTGTACAATTAAGTCGCGCGGGTTACTCAATCACGCGTGTAAACACGTGCACACGGACACGGTGCATATAATTCATCGAAAATGTCGACGACTAATGTCCGACACCGGCTAAACCGAACGTGCAATTATATTTCGCGGCCGCTTTGTGAAAAATCTCGGTTCGATTCGATAACAGGATTTTTTTCCCTTCTAATCTGTCCACGCGGACTCGAACGGTTCAACGTGCCGTAACGCGAGGCAACGTAATCAAATTTTTCTCGTCGTTCAGGAACCGTTCGAAAGGTCGACAGTTATCCGCCGCGAAACGCATCCGCGGCTTGTCTCGTGCCATTTTATCCATCGAGCAGCAGCAGCAGCAGCACTGTTATATGCGCCGGTAAAGCGACCGAACGTATTACATTCTATAGAATATCGCATATACTGATTGCTTTCGACGTCATATTTGATGGATCTCTCGGTGAAAATGGTTAATAACATTATTTGCTTCTTGTCATTACACCTTTTCCAGCTTTTCTTCCTTTAAACTTTCGCGTACGAGTTGCGAAAACTTAATGAATCCATTAGAACGTTATCATTGGATTTGTTAGACCGATTAGACAATTTATTAGTGGATTTATCGAACGTAATGGATTTTAGAGTTATATTCAATATTCAATATTTTAGTAGACAGCGTCTATTCGTTGCTTTCGTATTTATTATTTCGTCCACTCGCTGGAAACAATTTATTATTTTCATATTTAATATATTTATTAGTTTTTATTTTCTTTGTATTTATTCTTTCGGTTTTTATTTTTATTTATATTTATATTGGGTTACTCATTCGTTTTATATTACCGCATTTTTGCATCCTCTGTTTCGTTAACTAATATTCTGTCTGTCGCTAATCACTTTTTAAACAGAGATTTGTAATACATACATCGATAAGAACATAATTAATGACTTGCTAAGGGTCGTCCCTTATATATCCCCTATAATTATTGTTTATTATTATTATAATTACTATAAATTATTATTATTATTATAAATTACTATTATAACTATTACAAATGTCAATCAAAACTTATTATCATAATTATTACCACAAGAATCTACAGAAATTAGAAGAACGTCACCGCGAACGAAACCAAGAAATTTCAAGCGTCGTCCAACTAAATTAGCAAGTGTGATAAATTTTTAGAGCGCAGCACCTTTGACATCGCAAAACGGTCGGGCAAAACGGAGACCGAACCCGTAGCCAAGAGCAGGTGAAACGGGTCGCGTTCCAGCAGAAATATATTTCACCGTTGTTTTATTCCCGTGGAAACTGTTGGATTCGTGTTTCAAGTGGATATCCCCGTTGAATCCAGTCCGCGGAGGCCAGGTCGACTAATTAGCCAGCGCGGACTGGACGCCGCCGTAAAACATTGTTTCCGACTGCGAAAGGGAAAAGATCGAGGGACGATTACGGTGGACGGTGAGTACTTAGGCGAGTCGATGCAGGAGGAAGCTCGTGTCTCACCGCGGCCTAAGATCCTAATCTCAATTTATTCAGGGCCGCGATCATCGCGTCGATACGATCTAGGGAGCGCGCAACGCGTCGCGGAATTGTTTCGTGGACGCCCGAGAATCGTTCCGATGATCTCGCCGCGAACTTTCTATCGGGCGTCGCTGGAAAAACCGAATCAGAAACAAATAGATCGATTGTATGGTAATCCTACGACTCGCCGGCGTCGGAATAGCAAATCGCGGGCAAATAGTTTCGTCATGAATACTTCTCATGCATACAGGGATTCTAATTAACGCTTGGACGACGGCCGTGGCTCGGGTCCATTTGGACCCGGAATATGTGTATTGTTATTTGAGTATTTTTTAGTTTCTGACAATTCGTTCAATTGTCAATAGATCCGTTAAGATTTACAAGCTTTGTAGAAAATCTAACGTGTTTAGAATAAGTATATTAAGTATAATAAATATTTTCTAAATAACATTATAAATGATCTTAACTATGTTAAGTTATATTTTCGTTAAAATGATCGGACTGTTCGAGGGATAAATACTTGATTAATCGCTGTAGCTTGACTATGTTTCAGCCAATTTCAATGAAATTTCAAACGTGCATATAAATGACCGAAAAGTATCATTTTTCAATTCATTTTTAAATTTTCATCATAGGCTCAGATAAAAACTAGACAAAATTCAAGTCGTTCAGACCAGTTTGAACAGAATTTACACCGTTTTAAAAGGCGTTCGAACCAAAGAATTCGATTAAAAAAAGGGTCCATAAGTTTTTCCACAAGAAATGCCAAAAAAGTGCCGTCCCTTTCGGATCGTTGACTAGTCCCGTTGACGAACCAGTCGAATGTTTCTCTCAACGATCGAAAAAAAAAACGAGAATCTCCTCCGACCGGTAAATCGCAGTCGTGATCAGAATCGCGAGAGGGTGGTTTCGACGGGTGAACATAACGACCTGCCGGCGCCGAGTGAAGGGTCGCTAAACCCGTTGGCTACCATTACAAGCGCGAAGCGGCGTGTACCGCGCGCGTTTACAGGTGTTTCCAGAATCAGCGTGCATTACGGTGTACTTTCACCCGATCGCATGCCGATTCGCGGCCGATATTCGCCGGCGGACACGCATCGAAGCTACGGCGAGTCGTGTCCGTGCCGATGCCGGCCGATTCTTTTCGCGTCTGGTTTTTCCAGTCGCGGTGCAACGATCCTTTACGCGCGCGTCATACACGGCGTTGTTCGACTGCAATGTTGTCTTTTAAAGCACATGCACTGACCGCAACGGGACACCGCGTTATTGCCGGCCGTTCCATGGCCAGGCGGATTAAAAATTCAACCGGACACCGGGCG